TTGGTCGTCGCTTCCGTCGTTGACTGTATGATCACTGAAAATACCAAATAACAACAACAAATAAACATAACTGAGATAAACGACGATGCATAACATTATTTTCATTGAAATATCTCTGTCTCCACGCGCTCTTAGTCAGGGTACGGGGATAAGATCAAGAGCGGGGGGGGGGGGGGGAGGGGGGGGGGGAGCTGATAAAAATCGGAGAAATATTTTCCCCGTGGGACTCCCAATTCTATAAAATAGCTCCGAAACAGGGCAGTGATGTACTTTCTTTTAATCATCATCATCATCTTCTTCTTCTTCTTCAGTTGCAGTACCGGCAAACGTCATTTATTGTCGTACTGGTGAGGTGCAGTGCAGAATGTATGTACAATTTCTGATAAAAGATACAGCAAACTCTTTGCTCTTTGCTCATTAATTGGCCTCTCATTAATTGGCCCGATACTATATTATATTACACCTACTTTCATCGCAGTGTCTCCCTTGAAACCCACTTGAGCAGGTACAGTTGTAGCCTACCATAGTCTCTTCACACCAGCCGTTGTTACAGAGGTTTTCGTCACAATCTGCGAAATAAGTTATAAACAGGATAATACTCATTATCATATATATATATATATATATATATATATATATATATATATATATATAAAGCTTCCAAGTGGTACAATGAATCAGTGTATTTAATATCTTTAGCGTAGTGCCCAGATGACAGATCCATATATGACAGAAAATAATAATAATATTGTATGGCTTTGTTTTCGTGTGATACAAGAATATATTGCTCTTGCTATTACAAAAGTGGACTCGTCTGCGACTGGTCCAATATTGTCATAGCGTAAGCAATATATCGACGAATCAAATATCGTAAACTCGTCTGCCGTTTCACCGTTATCAAACGAAATACCAACCAATATAATTATAAACTATCAATAATTAATACTCAAATCACCCAGTAGCCTGAAATTAAATATCAATGAATTTGCTATTAATGGATTGCCAGTCAGTCTTCTCGCTCTTTTGAATAGTCTTCTAAATAAACGATAGTTGTTACTTTTCGGCTGGAACGATTCAGTTTCACAATCTAAATAGGTTTTACAAATTAGAATGGCATTGTCACTGGGTCGAAAAGAGTTTTAGTTCCCTGAAATATCTTCGACATTCGATTGAGTTAAAACAGAACAAAAATATAAGATATTCTTCTTGTCATGATGGGACAATAATTTTGTCACATACATTTGTTATTATCATTATCATAATTACTATTATTGTTGTTCTTGATATCATTAATGTTAGCATAATAATCATTATCATTATTATATTATTTTTTCATCATTGTTACTAATATTAATATTATAATCATACGTATTCATATTATCATCATCTTCATTACTATTATCATATTTTTTTCATCGTTATTATTACTATTACATATTATCATAATTGTTATTGTTAGTAGTAGTAGTCATCGTAGTGTAAGTATTAATATACGTAGCAGTAGTAGTAGTAGTAGTGGTAGTAGTAGTAGTAGTAGAAGTAGTAGTAGAAGTAGTAGTAGAAGTAGTAGTAATAGTAGTTGTAGTAATAATAGTAGTAGGAGTAGTAGCAGTAGTATAAGTAGTATAAGTAGTCAGTAGTAGTAGAAGTAGTAGTAGTAGTAGTAGTAGTAGTAGTAGTAGTAGTAGTAGTAATAATAGTAGAAGTGGTAGTAGTAGAAGTAGTAGTAGTATTAGTAGTAGTAGTAGTAGTAGGAGTAGTAGTAATAGTAGTAGTATTGTTAGTAGTAGTAGTAGTAGTAGTAGTAGTAGTAGTAGTAGTAGTAGTAGTAGTAGTAGTAGTAGTGGTAGTAGTAGGAGTAGTAGTAATAGTAGTAGTATTGTTAGTAGTAGTAGTGGGGTAGAGGTAATAACAGAAGCTGTAGTAGTAGTAGTAGTAGTAGTAGTAGTATTAGTAGTTGTAGTAGTAGTAGTAGTAGTAGTACTAGTAGTAGTAGTAGTAGTAGTACTAGTAGTAGTAGTAGTGGGGTAGAGGTAATAACAGAAGTTGTAGTAGTAGTAGTAGTAGTAGTAGTAGTAGTGGTACCAGCAGTAGTAGTAGTAGAAGAATTTAGGAGTTGATATCAAACTTTAATGATATCACTGAAGTCCGTGTTATCTGCATGTAGATTTATTGATTAAACAAAGAAACGAATTTGACATATGAGAGTAAACATGAATAAAAAATGCAACCTACACGGGATTCTGCATATTCTATGCCCGCCCGGGATCCCTTCTTTACTCTTCCTTTGGTGGCACCCGCCGATGACAGAAGGAAAAGGGATGAGTTTGGGGATGCTCTGCACCCAGCTGCCATCTTGGAGTCGCTTCATCTTACACTTTTGGAACATGGGCAAAGTGTAATTTAGGCCGTACCAGTCTGAACAAGATGTCCTATCCGATAACACAGGCAAGGCTGTGAAGAATATATAAGAAAATTCATTGCTAATTGTTTTTTCCTCCTATACGCCTCTTCTCCTCCTGCCTCACCTCCTTCTTAATGTCCTTCTCTACCTTCCCCTTCCTCCTCCACATCCTCCTCCTCCTACCAGCCCTGCTACTTCTCTCTACCCCCTCCTCGTTCTGCTCTTCCTCCCCATTCCTCCTCTCCTACTCATCTTCATATAGCCCTCATCTAGCCTAATCATCCTCACCTTACATCCCCTTACCGCTCCTTCTCGTCCTTGCCTCACACCCTCTTCTCAATCTTGAGGATGCAGGTTTTTTTTACATATATTTGAAACATTTATTAGAGAGACTTTTTTCGGATGTGTTTTTTTGTTTGAGATGCCATGTTTATTAGATCAAGTTGAGGGCATAAATCCTTGTCAATGGTTGTGTAGTAGTGTCTGCAAAATGTGAGTATACAGTTGGATGTGTATACTTCAGCTGCTTGTTTTGATACAGCCAGAAACAGGCAGATCTACGCTCTGCCCAAGGATTTATGAATTGTGATAAAGTGTCAAATCACAGTCTGTGCTTGCAGACTAACTTAGGTTTTTCACTTCGCTCTTATTTCGCTTTATTGTGGAAATTTTGAAAGCCGGCTATGTTTCTTCAATATTCAACAAAATATTACGGATATGTTAAGTAAAAAAAATACTTACCGAAGGACAAGCAGGTTACGGTACCAAGCAGCAACTTCCAAAATACACCTATCTTTGGGTCTTTAGCCTGTATTTAGAAAAAATATTAATATTGTTTAAATCAGCAAGAACAAGAACAAACAACAACTGAAGAAATAACTGTGATGAGCATTTTGAAACGAATGATAACGGTAATACTGATAATGGTGATGATGATGATGATGATAATGAGAGCAATTGCCGTTTATACAACACATATATGTTCCACTAACGTAATTGTTGAGACTTTCACATCTGTCAACGAGATTTTATAAAGGTTTTCTTGGCCAATTTCGGAATTTTCCAGCAATTTTGGTAAAATGTTCATTTAATTTACGATAAACACTATTTTTGGTGGAGACTGTCATTTACTTTAGGGTATCGGGCAGATTTGTTAAGAGATTTACCTAGGGGGAAGCAGGTTTTTGAGACATGGAATGTTGTAAAAGGTCGATAGGTATCAACTAGCTCAGGGAACCTCCCTGCTCAATTTCTAAGTGGACTTCCTTGAAAATATGCTGCTCGAACAAAAAAGGCGGCCATTTTCCAAAACTATTGTTGAACTATTTTTGAGATCACTTTTTCGAAGAACCTCATTTTACCATGTGTGAGATGTCATATGAAAGAGAATTAAATAGCATATGAGATGATAACGCATTTTATGAACATTTCTTTGATACTTATAATCATATGTGTTCTTTCTTGCATTTGGGTTTCGTTACCTTTGAGTTTTCAAAGGTTACGAAACCGGTATTCGAGATAAAGACCTTATACGCTCCTTACTTAGTAAAATGGCGCAGCGGACAGAATTTAAATAATCATGAGACACGTAAGTAAACTGTTCAAAACAACAAAAAGGTTATCCTATGAATTGAAACAAGATAATGTGAAAGCTTATATGGATTGCATCATTTTAAACAAGCACCAAATCACAAGGCAATATTTTACTTTTAAAAGGATTTAAGCCCCACTGTCCTACTTGTAGCTACTTGCTCACTCTATATAGAAAACTTCCCCAATCGGTGCCTGTTGGTCCCCCATGATCCTCTTTTTCTTATGTTAGTTGAGAGCTGAGTTAATGAGATAGCCACCTATCAGTGACCTCGCTGTGTGGTCTAATCCCTTCTGGCCCAGTAGTATTGACGGTCTTTAAGACCAATGACCTTACCCAAACTCGCTCCATTAGCCCAAACTTGGTACGATGCGATTTTGACAAAACTTTTTAACGATTCTGGTGCTTAGTCACTGTGAGAGAAATATTATGGATAGGCTATCATTTGAAAGAAAATTACTTACTACTCATCATGAAAAAAAATGAATTCATATAGGTTACGAATTTTTATTAGGAGCTACCAAAGTTGGGTACACTTTTTAATATGCACTGTACACTAAAATGGGAGTTACAGGGTATTTCAGTCCACGATCAGAGAGACGGTTCATGACTTATATGTGATTATGCACCAGGATTTATACGTGATTATGCACCGGTTGCACCCATACTATCAGTGATACCTTAGAGAAGCTGAAGCCCGTTAAATATCAGTTACAAGCTCCATACACTCTTGCAAGCACCACAGAGTCTTAAAACACGTTGTGAAAAGTGGAAGTGGTAAATTCATGAGAAAATCAGAAATAAGATCTCCTTCACAACTGCCTACGAACAGCTGCTAAATGACCAGATACCACAATAACGTGGAGGTGAAAGAGACATTGTAGATTATAGGTAGCAGCAGAGGATGCTATCATCAGGTATCAGCAATGTCTATTTAATTTAGAAGAAAAACATAGGTGCGGAATACAAATTAATTCAGAACCCAGAGCCCCGTCTTATATACAGTTGCGAATTATCCAAACTGAGGAGCCCAATGCTGCCTGTCCAAACCAATTTTACATTGAAATCAATTCACAACTCTGTATAAACCGTGACGTATGTACGGATTATGGCGCCCAGAGCAATCGATGAGACTGCACCCCCCCCCCCCCCACACACACAAACTTTCGAATGTTTCTACGTAACTGTGCAAGCGAGGGAGCAATGCGACCGGCTAAGGAAATTCGCAAAGGAGCGCAGTGAACAAGTAGTAGGATAGAGTACATAGATAGGTCGTTTTCTATTTATTCTTCATTAAATGTTGAACACAATTAATGAAAACTGTGGAGTAATGCAGTCGAGGGATTTAGCAAGGTAACCAACAAAAATAGATTTAAAAAAAAGTTGAATCGCATTTAAGAAATTAAATCATATTGATGTCAAATTTGGAACCATTTGAAAACGCTATCCCCTCCCCCATAAACTATCTATATCGGGGCACAAATTACGAGATCCTGTGCAATATAATTATGCGAGTCGTGACCGAGCTTTAGAAAATGTTCTATTTATAATGCATTTCACCCTGCGCATTGGGGCGCATGTATTCATGAGGATAAATAGTTTTTTCTTCCTTTTTGCAGCTCACGTATTTCTAATTTACATTTTCTCGCCCCTTTTATGTGCTCTCTAAAAAGAGAACTGGGTAGGGCATTGGCAGTGAGTGGCGTGTACGTTCTCTTTTAAATAATCAAATAATTTGACAAGACTCCTTTCCCCCAATATGATGTAGTTCCAAGTTTTTGACATTATGGTCAAAACGTCATTTTGTCATAAAAAATGCCTCAGACCAGATGTATTCAATCAAGCATTTAGCGACATATAGACTCGGATATGACGTTATTCTGGATACGAGGTGACGGTTGCCCAAATGTCGATACGTTCAAAACAATCAGGGGAGCTGAGTATCTAGTTTTTATAGAGTGATACCGGTCTATTATTTTAATCCAGGTCTTTTATTATTGTACACATGGCTGGTTTAATAATGTATTAAACAAAACAAATAATTTACGCCCGTTTTCGAGGTAGGGGAGGAAAGAGGAAATACATTGACAAACATGTTTCGAAGCCATTTGGACAATTATATTTTAAATGTATTGATAAGATTCCGTGGGAAAAAAGACTAGTTTTGGATTGCAATGAATGTACTATAAACATAATGCTTTGCACGAAGAATATAATGTTCTAGATGAGAGAGAGAGAGAGAGAGACTGAGGGGATGGGTTAGTCACAGAAGGGGTGTAGGGTGTAAGTTCTGAACTCCACCATCCATTATATTCATGTTTCAGACTAAAAATCATGATTATCACCTGGATCCAGATCTTATTTATGTATCATTCAACCGATAGCCCGCATCATTTTTGAACCCACATCATGCCCTACACAACATATTGCCCCCCATCCCGAAATTTCTCTTGATGTTAGTGAGGGCGGGGGGGGGGGGTATACACTATGCCCATGTTTCAGAGAGCAAATCATGTCTGTCACTTTTAAAATTTTATTTATTATTTGACCGATAGCCTAATTTGGTTTCAGAGAACACATTTTTCTGTTGCTATGGAAATTATTGTCATATCAACAATATTACTCATCTGCTTAAAGATAGCGTCTACTCGCGATATATTCTATTTGTTCATCTATTTTACAAATGCTAAGGAGCAGACGGCCCTTAGCAACCAACATTTCCATTTTTAGCTCATATCAAAGCGAAAAATTTAGAGCGCTATAACTTTTTTGTTACAAAAGCAATGAACTTGGATATGATATCCAATGTTTTCAGAAAGTTCCAAGTCAGTAGTCATCATAATTATCTAAATATATATGGACAAATAGGTATTTGGGGTATATGTTTGGTAAATTTATAAAAACTCTTCTTTTTTTTGGTCAAAATTATTATGCAAATTATCCCCGAACCTACTTAATATACTTAATATTATATCATCTTGTACGAAACTTATTTTCTTTCATATGACACCTCACACATAGAAAAATGAGTTTCCGTTAAAAAGTAATGTCCAAAATTGTTCTACAGTGCGTCCCAGAAAAAAACGAAACCGAGAATTATCGATTTTTTATCATAACTTAGTCAAATTTATAATTATTAAATGACACATATTTAGAAAGCTTAGATCCTCATCGTGCATTTGATACAACTCATATGATGCATATTTCACGCATGAGGGATTAAAAATAATAAATTTGAAGAGAGGCAACCAAAAAGTCATTTGGTGGACGGTATCTGAATTTGAAAGAGAAAATCACATTTCTAGAAAGTT